CCTCACGCTGCTCTCGAATGAGCGTTTCTCGATCAACCCTCGACAGCTCACTCCAACTTTCCGCTACATGCGAAGGGTTGCACGTTCTCGCTCTGACTCAATGGCACCACGTCGTCTCCTCCGCCTACAGAGACTGCGCCAGTCGCTTCGGTGATGGGCTGCTCGAGAGACTGCTCAAATGACTCATGCGGAGAATTTCCTTTCTGAGGTTCTGTCGACTCGCCGCCAAAGTCACGCATATCAGCTGCCTTTGCAGGTGGTGTTTGACCACACTAACCAAGATCAAGTTCCTGCGAAAGCTTCCGCGCTTGCGATCGCGTGAGAGCCATGTACGCTAAATTGGAGAACAACGATTTAGCCTGCTCTTTGAGAAGCTGCTCTGAGTTAATAAAGAATAGAAAAGGAAAACGATCGGCAAGCGCGGCAGACACAGATGCTTCGGTTCGAAGCTTACCGAACGGGCCTTCAAGGACAACCGTAGCGATTGGTAAGCAAACACTCTGCTCCTCGGCGACTTGTCTGATCCACGCACATTCTCCTGTAAAGTCGTCCGGAGACACCAATGAAGGATGGACAAAGTCCATGGTTGCCACTGAGTCTCGAAGTGCTGGACACGTTTTCCCATTTACACTAATTTCTTGGAGATATGGCTCTAACAACCGCATGTTCCTTTCGCTTCTCGGATTGTTGCAAAAGAAAACTTTTGCTTACAGTTTATCATGATGTGCCCTTCCTTTTTGCAGTTGTAGAAGATTAGCAGCTTCCGTGATTCAAACGCCCGTATGGTATCAGTGAGTTGTTTATGAACCCCACCCTATTGCTACGCTTTCGTTTGCCCTTCTCCTTCAGTGTCCTTCGTAAGAGACGGGTTCTTCCTGAAATTACGGCGCGTAGTGGGTTTCCGTTGATCAGGTTTCTTTGAAAAGTCCTCTTTCCTTTAATCCTTTCCAACCCGCACTGCCCTGCTAAGCCACTTTCGGCGAGTAAATTCTCTTCAGCTAAATCTGCCGCCTTGTGTAGCTTTACTTCACCAAGTTTATCCTGCAGCCAAAGCTTCACATCCTCCTCGATGCAGTGGTAGAATTGCTTCAATGAAATGCACTCTAACACTTTATCGCGATCGTCATGAACACCTTCGCCCTTGAGCCATTCAATCAAATTGGCTTTAAGACGAAATGCAAAGTCAACGTGTGACTTGTTCCCCTTTTAGCGTACCGGAACCTTTGCCTGAAAGCCTCGGGTGACAACTTATGACGTCTCAAGAGCATTTCCTTAACCTCGTCATAGCTCTCGAACGCTTCCCTCGACAAGCACGTTATCGCGTCGGACACTTCGCCGGGAAGAAGTGCTAACAGGTTATAAGCCCAAAGAGACCACTCTAAAGCATTTCGCTCACAAACGTGTTGAAATTTGGCGAGATACTTCGCCATGTCCTCGCCTACTACGAACGGTGGCAGTTAGTCTCGAATTCTATAACCGCTGACGACATGAACTTTCTCAGAAGCTACGCTAGGCGCCTGCGAACATTGTAGGATTGCAAATTTCATTCGTTTCAACTCGAGGCGCTCCTGTCTCTCGGCTTCCTCATGCTCGTGCAGTTCTCACCTTTTAGCTTCTTGGTGTTAGCGAACTCTTACTTCTCGCCTTTGAGCCCCTCACGGCGTGCTTTGACATCCGTCCAGGCCTCATCGACTTACTCAGCCGGCACTCCATTCTTCAAGATCTCAAGGATCGCTTGCTTTTGTTTCGCACGGCCCAAAACAATGCCAAGTTGGCCACAATTTTCGATAAGTTCCTTCACTTTTAAGTTTTCCATCGTTCCCACTAGCCTTTTGCTGTTTGGCCCTTTTAAGAATCTACTTGCCGTACCCACAATATGTCTACTAGCACGCAATCTTTAACACTGCCGTGTTTACACCCTCCACATTAACTCCGCTTTCAAAGTGCTCTGACTTGGCTTGAAAAGATCAAAGGCCACTCTAATGCTTCACACAGCCACTCTCTAAACTACTATAACCTGTGCTAGAGTAGTCTTGTGAACTAAGGGGAAAACATCAGGCACTCACCGCATCGATGTCGCTGACACCGGCCGATCCCGCCGCTGCCAATTACTGTTACGAAGGCACACCACCGACGAGGTTACGAAGGGCGCCACAAAACTCGCCGCTACAAGGGCACCGGGCGCGCCGACTTCGAAAGGGGCTCGAAGCAACGAGAGGCTTCTCTGATACATAGTTCTACTGCTGGCGACGCACTACAGGGCTTTTTTATAGGCACCGGTTGGGTCTTTCGAGTCACGAACGTCCAACCAGAAGCGCCGCTTGCTGTGGTAGAATCCTCCAATGAGGCCTACTGCTGGGCCGCGTCATGCTCATCAAATGCGGAGCCGCTGCGCGTGGTTGCACCCAAGCGCGAGTGACGTTGCCACGCATTGCGTAATACTCGCCAGACTGGAAGGCGCTGATTGCTTCAACGGGCTCGTGGCCTGTGGGAGCTCGCTGTGCGTTGCGTGACAGACCGGCGCCGCTGGTTGATAACGTCGTTGAGTTGATCGCGTGAGGAGGGTTCGATCGCTGGCCTTGACACAGATTGCCTTTGCAGAGGCATTGACGTTCGGTGTGTACTCCCAGGTGTAACAATGCTCAGGGTTCTCTATTTGATGTGACGCGTGTGATGAGTGAGCTTGATCCGGTGGCGTCCGCGCTCCACAGCGCATGTGCGTCCCCTCTCCATCTCACTCCTCTCCTAAGCTCCCCCTCTCTTGCCTCGCTACCCCGATGCAGGCAGCGTCTGCTAGCCCACGTTCGCTCCCCCGTCTCCTCTAGGCATCCCTGCCATTGCCATTTACAGCCCCATAGTGTATGTGCGGCCGTTGCCCCTCTCTTTGTCCTCCTAAATCCCCCTCTCCCCTTGCAATGCCGAGGCAGGCAACGTTTGCTAGCGATTATCTTGATTGAACGAACCGCCTGCTCGCGCTTCACAGCTGTTCAATAGTGACCCCGTAAATATATGCACTGGGTTTTGTCCTCCAAGGTAGTGCCGGTGGGAGATTTCTCCTTTGGTTCATTGAAAAATAAAAGTTTGCAGCGTGCGCATTAACTAAACGCGGAGGGTTGGTCTTCTGTCTCTCAGTGCCCATCAGCAGTGATTCGCATGTTTAAGTAGCAAACACCAGTCCGTCACTGCGTTCTATGCGCCTCCGCAGATTTGTCTCTTGCACAATGCCGCAATTTCCAGGTTGAGCGCCCACTGCTTCGCATCTGCGCATAAGTCCCTTTAGCCGGTGATGGAGTAAATTTTATGCATTGCATAATTGGTAACGAAAGTTTTATTGAAGTAACCATGCCTACATTTCGAAGGTTCTTGTGGGTTCGCATAAGTGAAACACTTTACGGTAGTGCTCTGACGAGAGCTTCAAGGAAATACGTATTGTATGTAGTTGGAGAAGGTGGGTAGTGTGTATGGGAAAATTTGATGCAATAAGACAAGATATGATTACCTTCTACGCAGCTGTGAGCACTCGCTGGGTGCCTGTAGCCAGTGTTCGACCACTTGGGGTTGTTGATCTCCGTATACAGTTCACATTCTTTTAACCTCTGTTGGAAATGCAGTCGCTATGGGCATGAACTGGACCCCAGAACTTTCGGCTGAGAAGTCGGGCGCCGTAACTACTGGACTATCTTGGCGGGTTAATTGAACGCTTGAACCTGGTCGATTTCAAAAGCAGTTTGAAGTAGTGTAACAGCTCTGTGGTAGAATGGTTGTCTTACACACACCCTGTCTGGTTTCTACTTGAGCTCGAGCCATTCTTTGAAATGCGGAGCATTTTTCATTCGAATGATGTCGCGTTTCGGCGTTGGCGGTGCCGTCCACACCCCCACTGCGCATGCTCGGGTCTCGCGCCAGCCCAGAAAGACACCCGCAAAACCATCGCTCCAGGACCTATTAAAGGCTAAGACACCACCGGAAATTCAGCAAGATGGGGTGTAAATACCGTTGGGAGCATGTGCGGGGAGGGGGGAGGGTCCGGACCTCGCCCCCATTTTCATCTGCTTCGAAAATACGCGGTGTGTGTGTATATAGGTGGCGAAGTGCCCGATAAGAATTCAGTCACGGGTGCCTTTACTTGGCTTTTGCTTCACTGGACGCTTTGTTTGATTCGAGTATATGTGATGAAAGCAACAGTGCCTTCAACAATAGGGGGGCACAACCCAAAATCAGCGTCCCACCACTCGTTGAAGGCGACGGTTCTCGTTCATTCAATAAATTGGAATAATAAAGAAGAAATAACAATCATGCAGTAGCGAACCATACTCAATCACACAACATTTACGTGATAACCCACCACTCTGTGATGCATTTACTCGAGTTCCTTCGTGGGAAGATCCAGGCGTTTTTTTTATAATTCTTTCTATTGAGATATTACATCACTCGCAAACGCGTGTAATCGCATGAAAAGAGGCACTGTCCTGTCGTCGAAGACATCAAATATATTACACCAGTGACGTGACGTGCGTGCCCGTGTACCGCGCCCTGTGCTTTGTGGGTATGCGCCTCAGCTGATTCACTGTCTATATGATCCCATACTTTGGAAAATCTATGCCGCGAAATATCCGGTCCCTTTCTAGAAGCCGTTCTAAGAATTCATACAGTCAGTATCTGCCACGCGAATTTCTCAGTTGGTCAAGTTCAGGAGACGAATGTGAGACCACCAGGACATAGGCGAACAGATAGATAGATAGATAGGTAGATAGATAGATAGATAGATAGATAGATAGATAGATAGATAGATAGATAGATAGATAGATAGATAGATAGATAGATAGATAGATAGATATGAAGTTCACTCACAAACGCTCTGCAAACGCTCTGTTACAAACGCTCAGCATTTTAGATATACTACAGACCCCAGTCACCTACCATCCGCGTACAATTACTTTCGGTCAGTTTAGGCCCCTTCATTCTCAGAATGAGTACCCTTAAAATTTTATTTCACTTACCTTTGTAAGGAGGTATCAGCAGACTGTCTGTGAATTCCGGAAAGCTCATCGTAATTACGTCTTTAATAATAAATGATGACCTACGCAAAAAAAAAAACTCTTCAAGGCACACACCACTTGTACAAGTCGCTGCAGACCTCATTTGTTTCAGCTGAAAATGTCGTATTATTAACAGTTAAAGTGCCACATGCACAGCTAGACAGGCTGCACACGGCTGTCTGAACGCAGTACAAACAAAGAAAATAGTTAAACCATCTCCCACAAAAAGTAACCGTGTGTAGATGCGAAGCAGTGAGTGCTAACCTTTGTGGCGGCGTTGCACTGGCGCTAATTGCGGCGTTGCACAGGGAAAAACCTGGGGAGGCGAAAACCATGCAGTGAGGGTCTGCTCTTATCTATTGGCACGTGCCATTCGCTGATAATGGGCAATTGGACGGAAGGTCCCATTGGACATAGACGCTTGCCGTTCGCTTTTAGTACCCACGCTGCGAGTTTTTATGGTTTAGCAGCGTACAGGCCTCATCTTCACGGACGTTACCTTAAAGGCCAAATTATATATATATATATATATATATATATATATATATATATATATATATATATATATATATATATATATATATATATATATATATATATATATATAAGAGGTGGTCAGTTGACAGTTGTGTAGCACGCACAGCTGTTTTATTTTCCACAATAAAAAACTCCCTAGCAAGAGCTGCCTGCATCGGCATTTCGAGGCGAGAGAAGGGGGAGCAGAGGAGAGGAGGGGAGGAGCGTGCAATCCCAATGACTCTGTAAACGCCACGCATAGGGATGCCTTGAAGAGAGGGAGAATGTGCGTAGACTAGCAGACGCTGCCCACTTCGGCATTGCGAAGCGAAAGAGGGGGAGTGCAAGAAAAAAGGAAGAGGGAGTACGCATACGCATTGGGAGTGTAAACGCCGTTTAAAGCAACGTTACTAGAATAAACTACGATTGAAAGCTCCTTCAAAGAGGCGGGCCACTTGGCGGTCACGAGAACTAGTGGCGCTGCAGTACGATTTTGATCTAGTAACGCAGCGCGCGTGTTGTGATCGGCGGCGGTGACGCGCAAGCGGCTACCGCAAAGGGTGCGCTGTACTTCCATGTCACGTCTTAGACTGTTTTTGGCACTGCGTTGTTTCTTGTACAAAAACGCGTTTGGAATATATGAGGCGTAGCGAGGAAGAGCAGATTCATCTACATCGAGGTTCGTGGATTAGCTTTGCGCTAGGCTCCAACTGCGGCGATGCAATGAGTACTCCGCTTCACAAAGTGGTTCTAAGAGAGAAAGGACGAGAAAAGTGAGCCCCGTAACTGTCTGCTTCACGGAGCGACACCTCAACAGTAGCTCACAAGATATGGAGGTGAAGAGGAATTAAAAGAATAGAATTAAAGGTATATATAGAGAGAAAGATGCGCTAATCCTGCGAGCGAGGACATATCGAGGGGATGGAAGAAATAGGAAAGATGGACACACGGTCAAAGGAGTCCGAGGACGTAGCACCACTTGCGAGAGCTCTTGTCGGCGTCAGGAGATGGCGTAGGGCAAGTCCGGTAGGTCAGAGCTGCACTGTCGTCGAAGGTCGGCGTCGGGAGATGACGTAGGGCCAGCCCAGTCGGCCAGAGCTACTCTGACGTCGGAGATCGCGAGGGCACAACTGGTCGGCACGGAATCCAGCGAGTGAGTCCCGAATACTCCGCATCACGCAACTTGTTTGTTCGTTTTTTTGTCTATTTATTAGGTTATTTGCGGTGTAAAAACGGTTACTCATTGGCGTGGGGCAACATCAAAGCTGCTATAAGCAGCTTGGGAACCTCATATAATAGCCTCCCATCGCATTCGTCCAGCGGTGACGGGCTACCATACAAACGATTGTAAACAAATTTGCTTGTCCAGCCTTGAACGTTACCCGAGAGAATTCATACTGTTGTGCAAATGAAAGCTTTATAACAATAATAATAATATTAATATTAATATTAATAATAATAATATAATATTATTATTATATGCTGTAGCAATAAAGAATATTGGCTGATGTCACGTCGTTGACCATTATGTATGTGTGACAGCAATTACACAACAGTCACAAACACAACAATAACAAAACGTGTAGGATGCTTGAGCTTCACCTTCAAGAGTAGACAGCTACAGCGTAACCAGGCCCTGTGGGAATCACCTTCTCAACTACAAGCTATAGCTTTGGCCTCGGTATATGCCTCAACCGTGCCGTGAGAGAACGATCGACTGTGCGTGCAACACTGGCTGTTTCAAAGTATTGTAGAATGTCTACTGAAACTACAGTTGCGAAGTGCCCACTGTGCCATATTTCTTCCTTTTGAGAATCAGCAAGGGGCCCTAACGGGTGCGTAAAGCAACACGTAAGCGAACTTGAATTAGCACCCTGTAAGTTCTGAGCCTTTCTAACACCCACTCGTTGCGCATTTCACATGTTTGGACGACTGGCGTGATTCGACACTTGTACCACCTATTATTGCGTGGATTGAAGAAATTCTTTATACTAAATGAGCAATACAGGTGTAAACATAGAGTCTCGCTTTTATCTCTGGACACAATATTATTGAGGACTTCGACTAAATGAAATTCGCATTTTCCTTTTTTCCGAATCAGTTTCGACCATTGACGTGCCTGTGTGGTATAAAATCTGATTTCCACGCAGGCAGCCTGGGATCGATTCTCACTCGTACAGAAGTTTTTAGGGGCGAAGCTCCTTATAGCGGCACCCTTTCGTCCATCACAGCCGTTTTAGGAGTGTGTAACGAGTATAACATTTTGACCTCCAAGGTGGTGCCAGTGAGGGATTTCTTCTGTGCGTTGTTGAACAGTGAAAGATAGGGCTCAATGTACATGCCAACGGCTGCTAAGAAGGAATGAGAGACAGGGTAATTCGGCTTTTAGTTAGCGCGCACGCTGCGAACTTTTTCTTGTTCCACAACGCACAGAAGGCAAGAAAGAGTTGCTACGTTATACTCGCTGGGCGTAACCTCCTTGTTTTTATAAAGGTTGAGCGAGCGTTGGGCCGCAGTGCCATGAATACAGTGAACTAGTATATACCATGAACTCGAGGTGCTTAAATGAGGGAAGTAGACACGAAGCGCAAGCCGTAAGAAAGTGTGCGTATGCCTCCTCTCGTTCACTCCTTGGAATGTCCGCTGGATGGCGGTGCTTCTATATGAGGAATATATGATGAAAAGATGCGAGATGGTGGTACTTGGATTGTTAAATAAGTAGACGAACGGACGCACAGACAGATGCATGTACGGACGCACGGATGGCAGCACGGGCGGATGGACGCATGGATGGACGCAGGAGCGGATGCTCAGACAAAAGCAGGGACGGACGCACAGATGAACGTGCGGACGCACAAACAGACGCACGCACGGACGGGCGGATGGACGCACGGGCCGCCACACAGACGCACGAATGGATGGACGGAAGCAAGAACGAATGGACGGACGGATGCTTCGCCCCACTATCCATCATTCACTCCGTGGATATGCTGCCACTTTTTTTTCCATTGGCAGGCTCCTTGAATTTTTTTTGTCATGGACAAGATAATGTCTTCTCGCTCACAACCGGGGGACACTGACAGCGACGCCAAAACGAGAATATCTGTAAAACGAGCTTGTTAAAACTATCACGTTGAAATATTATACAACGAATAACAAATAGAAATATGAGTATAGGTGAATAAATTGATGCAATACTTTATAACAAATATTTCTTTCCGGTGAAGGTGGAGCCCTCAGTCCAGTGCCCTTGTGGCCTTTGCCATCTTGCAAGCTCTGTCGATCAGCTTGAGCTGTTCTTCAGGCTTAGAGCAGGAGAGCGCATACTCCCACTGCTCCGGTGTTAGTGTACAGTTTCTTGGCACTACCTGTGCATGTTGGCAGGCCCATGACAAGTGGTTAAGTGTGGGGTGTTTTCTGCATAGCGGGAATTGGTTGGCGTATATTCCCAGATAGATTTTACTCATAAGACTGAGATTGGGGTACGTATTAGTCTGCCGCAGTCTCCAGGCAACCGACTGCTCTCTGCTGAGGTCTTTCTGGGGAGAGGGTATATCCCTCTCAGGGCTCTCCGGTGTTCTAAAATTGCTTCATAGCATCTAGTAACTGCGGCCGGTTCCTTGTCGTTGTGCGCCCCCCGGTCGGTGTATTCTTGGGCAATGGAGTCGGCACGCTCATTCCCTGTCACTGTTACATGGCCCGGTGTCCACGTAATAGAGCAGCTCGAGAAGTTTATTTTTCTTCCCTTGAGCATGCGGATGGGAGCACTTGATATGCGTCCACTGCTGTAGTGTCGACACGCTTCTTGCGAGTCAGTAGCTATTTCTGGAGTAGACTCTTCGCTCTGGTTCGTGATTGCAAGTGCGATCGCTACTTCCTCAGCCTCGAGGACGTTCTTGCTTCTGATCGAAGCGCTGTTGACTTCCCTAAGTTGGTGATTAACAACGCTTACAACTGTCCCGGAGTGCTTTCTCTATGTGGCCGCGTCAAGGTACAATACGTCAGTTCTCGCCCTGAAATTTGTTTCTTGTGCTACTGATCTGGCATTTCTTCGAGCCTTATCGATTTCTGGATGCATGTTTCGAGCTATTGGGCTGACTTCAGTGATCTGGCGAATGTCATTTGGTATGCTCGGCATGTTATTGATTTCTCCGCAAGCATCCCTCATGCCCAATGTCTGCAACCTGTGCCTGCCCGTAGCAGTCAGCAGTAGTCTCATTTTCTGCGCAAGAAGATGCTCCTCGATGTGTTTTTGCACTGCGTTGTTTATGCCGAGTTTAAGAAATATCTCTGTCGAGGTGCTTACAGGTAGACTTCTCAGGTAGGGCACATTTGTAGGCTTTTCTAAGGATTGCCTCTAATTGTTCTTTTTCCTGGTGGAGTGTTGTTTGGTAGGGGACACTGTATACAATAGTACTGACCACGAGGGCCTGTACAAGCCTACATCTGTCCTCCTCCTTCATACTCCGTCTTCTGTTAGATATTCTTGTGATCATCTTCGTGATCTGCGCTGTAGTGTTTGACA